TAGTGACTCTCCGTTTGTTCTGTGATGTGATGCATGATTGACTTTTGTTGAATTTGTTTCTTTGGTTTCCATGTTTCTATTAATTTCCTGTTTGGGTGGTTGGGGCACATTCTTTTAGTTCTTTCATGTAGCTCCAAAGCTGCTTAATCTCTGCGAATTCCCAGGGGTTCAACATTTGAAAGGATTTCACATGCAGCAGTAGGTGTGGATCTCATGCCACCATTTATAAAACGAAGGGCATTGTTTTGGACCTTTTCAAGGATGTTACAAGTAGTTGTACTGCACCTAGAGAGTAGGCTTTTGCTGTATTCCAGGGAGGATCGGACACAACCAAGGTATAGAGCTTTCAGAGTTTGTTTGTCTGATCCCCATTATCTGCTTGCAAGTTTCTTTAAAAGTTGGAGTCTTTATTATTTTCATTTTTTATTTATTTTTTCCCTTGTTCCTTATGTTCTCCACTTGGCTTTCAAGGTTAGGCTATAGTCAAGTTTGACTCCTAGGTAAGTAGGAAGTTCTTCTTTGGGGAGATTTTCATTTCCTATCTTTAATTGGAGATTTTCTTTGACTGCTTCACGGCTCTTCGTAAAGATGGTGTATACAGTTTTCGTGCAGCTTATTTTAAGTTTCCATTTCTGATTGTAATTGTGGAGCCTCTTGAGGTCTTAATTTAATTTCCCTTCTCCTACTACTATCGTGCTGTGATGTGTCTGCCAGAGAGCAAGATCATCAGCATAAAGAGTCTTTTCTGATTTCAGCATGTTTGTTACATCATTAAAGAAGATCAGGAACAAAGCGCAACTCAGACAGGAACCTTGAGGTAGGCCTTCCTCGAGTACTTCTCTTGACGAGTGGGCATTGTTTACCTTGGTTTCAAAGTTTCGGTTCGACAGGAAGAACTTGATCCATTTGTAAAATTTGCCATGTATCCCGAGGTCCATGATTTTCATGAGTAGGCCTTTTCTCCACACTTTGTCGTACGCCTATTGGAGATCTACAAAAATGGCGACAGTGTGCTTAGTCTCCTGAAATCCATCCTGAATGTTGTGACTCAGTTTAAAAAGTTCAATTAAAACGGACAATTGTTAGATAATGTCAGAGCTCTATATACCAATAGCAGAAGCTCAGTAAGAACAAAGGAAGGAAATACAGACTGGTTCAAAGTAAGATCTGGAGTACCACAGGGATGCGTTCTATCTCCCCTCCTGTTTATAATATATATGGACGCAATAACGCAAGAAGCAAACCAAAGCCCAGAAAGCCTAAATGAATTTCTGTTCGCAGACAACCAATGTATAATTCATCATGACCAACAAAGCCTCCAAAATCACACCACCGAACTCAACAATACTTGTGAGAAATTCAACATGAAAATAAGCACATCAAAAACAGAAGTTATGAAAGTGAGCCAAAACTATAGTACCCTGAACATCCATGTCAATAGTAAACAACTGAAACAGGTGAAAGAGTTTAAATATCTTGGCAGCACTTTTTCTGAAAACGGGTCAATAGACAGAGAAATAGAAATGCGAACTCAAAGAGCCAACGCTGTCACCTACCAACTCGCACCCCTTCTATCTCATCCAAACATCTCCATGGACACAAAGAGACAGCTTATCACCTCAATATTCATACCAACATTATGTTATCAGTGGCAGACCTGGACCTTAAGCAAAACCCATGAAAGCAAAATCACATCATGCGAAATTAAATGTCTCCGCAAAACTCTTAACATCACAAGACGAGACAGGCAGAGAAATGAAGAAGTAAGAGCAGCTATCGGCACTGAGTCCTGCCTGCGTTACATAGAAAGACAGAGGATAAAATGGTTTGGCCACCTGTTACGCATGTCACCTGACCAGCCAGCCTTGAGAGCCTACAACACCAAGCACTCAGGCTATAAAGGAAGACGAAGGCCATGCAAAAGGTGGATCGAGGGTGTCAAGGAAACCCTAAGAAAACATAACATCACAACTGAAAGAGCTGCGGAGCTGGCCTACCATAGAAAACTGCATCTCCCCTTGACGCTTAACGGCAACAGAGGATGAAAAAGTAAAAGTAAAGTAAAAAGTTCATCTTCTGTGTTGATGCCTTTTCTGAAGCCTGCTTGGTGCGGGTTTAAGCTGTTAGTGTTTTCCAGGTACCAGTAGAGGCGGTTGTTTACCATTCTTTCCGCAAGCTTACCGATACATGATGTTAATGCGATAGGCCGGTAGCTTTTCGCTTCACCAGGTGATTTTCCTTTTATCAGGAGCGGTATAATCTGGGCGATCCTCCATATGCCATGCCTTTGGTATTCCACTCGTTCTCCACGTGGTAAGTATCAGTGAAAGAAGAACTTCTTTTCCTTTAGCACCAAGGTTGCACAGCATTTCGTTGTGTATTTTATCTGGTCCTGGTACTTTCTTTTCCTCTAGCTTTTTGAGGGCCTGACTGAGTTCCATCATGCTATAATCCTCCTCAAAAGCGAGTTATTCACAGTAGGAGCTTTTTCTTTTTGCTTCGCCCTATTTATCCGGATCTATCAGCCTCTGTTAGTCTTCCTGTCCTGTTTAAACGGTTAAAATATTCGGCTTTCTTCTGGTCTTTAGGCTGCCTGAAAGGAAAAAAGGTTTGAGGTTGCTTTTTCGTCTTTCTCCCGAGAGGTTTCTGACAAGGGACCAAACCTTTTTTCCATTGCGGCGAAGGTCACAATCTTTGAGGTTTGAGTCCATTTCTCTTTTTTGGCTTTTTTTACTGTCACTTTCACTTGAGCGCAGGTCTTGTTGTAGTGTGTTTTGTTTATTGGTGATGGCGATTTTTCCAATGACTGTCTGGCTTTCTCTCTTTCTGCCACTGCAGTCTGGATTTCTTCACTCCAAAAGGGTTTGAAATTTCTTCTGCATCCCCGTGGAATGTGCTGAGGTGCAGCTTTAAGAATATTTTGGGTGACTTGTTCATTAAAAAGATCAGGATCTTCTGTTTCTGCTATGCCAGAGAGCAAATCGTGCGAGGTCTTTTCGTATTCTGCCCAGTTGGCTTTCTTAAAGTTCCATCGAGTCCTCTGAGGGTGGTTCAATGCAGGTGGGAAGGTGATCTGTATAAAAATAGCCCTGTGATCACTTCATGTGGCATCAATCACTTCGATGCGACAGGAGTTTTTAATGTCGGATGAGCAGATGGTGAGATCAGGCCGGCTGAGAGTCAAGTGGGCTCTGTGAAGTAAGGTAGGAGTTGAGTTGACATCTTGCAACACAGAGAGGTTGCTGGTTTCACACAGCTCTTTAATCTTTCGACCTGTGCCGTTATAGTTGACGTAGCCCCATTCAGGAGAGTGGCCATGAAGTCACCCGCACAAATGGTTTTCTCATAGTAGGCTGCTTGCAGATTAGACAAGTCGCATGTTGTCTGTTGGGGGGGGGGCTGTAAATATTGTAAAGTGTGTACTTCTTACCTATGTGCCATATTGTGGCCTTCTGGATATCTGTCGGTTTGGGCAGATGATAAGTGTACGACATCTCCCTGAACATCGTTTCTCAGGTAAGTGATTACACCCCTGCATCTTGTGCATGTGCAGGCGTAACTGGTGTATCCTGTGAGGTTTAGGTCCGTACCTTTGTGTAGGATTTCTTGAAGGAGGTCAACATGAACTGCCTGTCCTTCAGGACATTGAGGAGTTCTGTTTTCTCAATCCTCAAACCAAAGGTGTTGAGTTGGAAGAGGTTGAGGGAACTCTTCTTCTGGTTGGGGAGGTAATTGGCTCCCTTCTCTCGCCGAGAGCTTTTCCCCGCTGGTTAAGTACTGTTTCTGTGTGTATCACCAGTAGCTGTCGCTCAGAGCCGCCCGGTGATTGCGCTGCCTGGCGCGGACCTTGTTTAACGAGGCGACGTCCGAGCTCGCAAAAAGTTTCTTTCTTTGTGTCATGGCGTTGTGGACTGGGGTGTCAGTGGACTGCCTGCCCACCCTGTGAAGAGGCCATTCATGTTGAGGATAGGAGGGCACAAGAGATTTTCATGAGACTGGAAAGACCTAACTGCCCTGTGACCGTGTAATTCCAGTAGGGTTCACGCTGCCCATCCCCCGCAAACAATGGCTACTGGCTAAAGTTTTCTACTCTTGCACGAGGTATCGAGCATCGACCAAGGGTCGTCACGTCCAAGGTCGTTGTGCCTTTAGTAAGAGGTCCATGGCCAGAAGGCAAGTCAGGCATTCCGCTCGGTCCATCCCCTGCACCCAGACACTCTCAAACTGGCTAGTACCTTCTCAGCCACAGAGGGTGTATTGATAAAAAGCAGTAGAGATGTTAGGTAGATTAGACACCCACTCTAGAAGCATAGCGTCTACCCCGCATCGGTTCTGTTCTGCCTCCTGCACCTTGTGGGGCCACACCTGCTCCCATTCTGTTGTTTTTACCCCTCTAGGAAACGGGGGGGGGGGGTTGGTTGGCGCTAACAACTCGCCATTCGCCAGAGCCGTGTCAGTGAGGACATGGGTCACCACGGATAGGTATAGTTGGCTGGATTGGGAGAAGCTGTTTGAGACATTCTGGCATTTCTCAATATTTAGATGAGACCCATCACCAGTCCTTGATCCCATGGAGTGGCGGTAGTATGGTAATATTCGGTGTTTTCTCACTAGTGTTTCGAAACCATTTAAAAAATAATAATAAAGGTCTGTTGACACATTTCAAGTCTCCGTACAGGGGAAAGAATGTGAACAGGCAACTTGCAACATTATATAAGTGCCCACTATTAGAGGTGTTACAGGAGAGTAACAAACGTAAAAGAAGGAGAAGAGGCCTGCCTACTGACGTATTTACACTAATAATATTACGTTGATGGAGTCGCGGAACACTTAACTACAAACCAGGAGCAAGTGCTTTAAAAAAAAGGCAACAAGTAAACAGGCTATAAAAATAAATAAAACAAACACAAAAATAAGGAGAAAATACAAAACAAAGATAAACAAAAACAAAAACAAAAAACCAGCAACAAAGATCACAATCTATTTACAGAGAAACTCACGAGTCCGGAGATGGCTTTTGTTATCAGGGGAGTGAACAACGAGAAGGTGGTCTCCTGGCTTGTTGAGGAAATCCATGTACCCTTTTATAGGGGGGTGGGAGGGGGTAGCGGATCATGTTATTCATGTTTCTGTATTGTAAAGAGAAGCAGATCAACACAACAAAGGTCTGTTCAATTGCTGATGTACAATGTATACGCTTTAAAGTATAGCTGAATACCCCCCTCCCTCTCTCCCTCCCCCCTCTCTCTCTCTCTCTCTCTCTCTCTCTCTCTCTCTCTCTCTCTCTCTCTCTCTCTCTCTCTCTCCTTCTTTCTCTCTCACATTTCTGTCTCTTCCATCGATCATCAATAAAAAAAAAAGGAGTTTTTATCGCAGGAGGACATCGATTGCAGCACTGCAACAAAACAGAGACAACGGTAACCTACGACCAAAAAGAAATGTACCGAACCTGTACCCTCAAAAGCAAAAAAATGGCAGTTCTTCAGTGGAACATTCGCGGTTTGCGTGCAAACCTAAACCAGGCAGAACTCTCCCATCTTTTTACCTCACACACGTCAAATGTTATCTGTCTACAAGAAACTAAATTGCCAACACCCACATTCACATTTAAAAACTATCAAACTTACAACCAAATTAAATATACACCGACAACCAAATCGTCTCTTGGGGGCATCTCCATTTTAATAAATAACCAAAAACAACACAAACAAATACAAATAAACACTACACTTCAGGCAGTTGCGGTCAGGGTCACCCTACACCGTCCTATAACTATCTGTTCAATATACATCCCTCCAAATTATCCTCTTTCTTTAAGCGAACTAATAAACCCCAGAGAACAGTTCCCACAACCCCTTCATCATGTTGGGAGATTTCAATGCCTATAGCCCTCTTTGGGGAAATGAACCAACTGACCCTAAAGGTAAAATCATAGAAGATTTCTTAACAAAAACCAATACTAGTATTTTTAACGACAATTCCCCAACATTTCAAAATTTAAAAAACTTAAACTTTTCATTGATAGATTAAACCCTATGTGATCCAGATCTAATTCCAGACTTTCAGTGGTAGGTCCTGGACGACCCACACGGATCGGACCACTTCCCCATCAACCTAATTCCAGACATTCCACACCGAACTCCTGTCCCGGACCGTTTCAATCTTAAAAGAGCGGACTGGGATGGGATTCACATGGAATGTCTCCAGAAACTCAACCCATCTCAAAAACAAACTTTTGATCGATTTCATGAAACCCTTCTCGAAATTGTTCAAAGACACATACCAAAATTATCCACCAAAACCCTAAAAAAATAAATGTTGGTTCATTGAATACTGCCAAAAAGCTGTTGCAGCCCAAAAAATTAGCTCTTAAGAAGTTCGTCAACTCTAAAACAAACGAAGACCTCACAAATTTCAAAATTGCACTAGCCCAAGCACGCAGAACGGTCAAAAAAACATCTTTTCGCTACTATGTCTCTAAAATAACAACAACACACCAATGCACACAGTCTGGAAGATGATAAAGAAATTAAAAGGTACTAAAAGAGACACAATCACACACATCTTAAAACCAAATAACTCCTTCGCAGAGACAGAAAAAAGTAGCTAACTGTATAGCATCAACCCTCTCCGGAAATTCGTCTACCCAAAATTACAACCCGGATTTCAAAAAAGTGAAAATGTCTTCTGAAAGGATAACTGTTGATTTTACCTCTTCAAATGAAAAAAAACTATAACTGAAGCTTTTCTCTTGATGAAATAAAATGTAACATTGCAGAACTATCAAACACAGCTCCAGGCCCTGATCAAATACACAACGAAATCATCAAACATCTCCCAGACGAAACACTCATATTACTCCTTGATATTCACAACGAACTCTGGCATTCTCAACAATTTAATTTTCCGAACAGTTGGCGTCTTGCCACTATTATACCAATCCCAAAACCAGGAAAAGATCACTCTAACCCATCAAACTACCGTCAAATAGCACTTACAAACTGTTTCTGCAAACTTATGGAAAAACTTATTAACAAACGTCTAATGTGGTTTCTCGAAACCTCAAACTCCTTGTCCAATTTCCAATGCGGTTTTCGCAAAAATCGCTCTACTATTGATCATCTCGTCCGACTTGAAACTTTCATTCGGGAAGCTTTCATTCGGAAAGAGCACCGTGTGGCTAATTATTTTTACTTAGAAAAAGCCTTCGACACCACAAGGAAACATGGTAGTTTAAAAGACCTGCATGACTTGGGCTTACGCGGAAATCTTCCAGAATTTATACGAAACTTTTTGAAAGATCGAGAGGGCGTACCCCAAGGAAGTATCTTATCACCCATTTTAAAAAAAATTAAAATCAATTCTATCACAAAAACCCTTCAAAACAATATTGACTGCTCACTTTATGTTGACGACTTCCTGATCTGCTATAAATCAAAATCCAAAATAGATCACATTGAACATCAGCTTCAGCTTCAACTCCATAAACTGGAAACTTGGGCAAACGGGCACGGGTTCAAATGTTCTACAACAAAAACAAACTGAGCACACACCAGATTTATATTTGTTTGGGGAGAAAAATCCTGTTAAAAGACAAGCTCGTTTCCTGGGCGTAATCTTCGACAATAAACTTTCTTTCCTACCACACTTGAAAGACCTAAAGACGAGGTGTCAGAGTGCTCTCAACTCCTTAAAAGTATTATCCAATCCCAAATGGGGAGGAGATACTGAAATGCTTCTTCAACTTTACCGTTCCCTTTTCCGTTCCAGGCTGAACTAAGCCAGTCCTGTTTAGCTAGAAAATCTTATTACTAATGGAGCTAAGGCCAAATTTTGCGAACAGTATATTCTCAGAAACTAACAAATGAAAACATATGAAACTTAGCCAGTACCTATAGCTAGAAACGTAGTGTTGCACTATTGTATTTTCATTAAGATCAAATGTGTAAGAAGAAAGCACATTTTAAGATAAATTCAGTAGTTTTGTAGGGATCGCCATCATTTGCTTCGACATTGTATATTCATTGCGGAGTGCGACTGCGCCGAAGGATAAAAATAATTTATTACATGAGTTGTGGTGTAAGATCATGATTTATCCTACGAGTGAAATTGCCAAGTTGTAATCACGAGTTTCAACGAGTGATTACAACTTGCAATTTCACAAGTAGGATAAATCATGGTCTAACACCACGACGAGTGTAATAAATTTTTTATACCATACTGACATCAGCTGGCGAATTACGTCCGTACCAACAAAGTTCAAATGGCCCGTCAATTGGACAAGAGGATCCATTCTAGAGTCTCACATGAAAACAACATTTTCATGCCCGTCGAAGTCAGATTGAGAATTGGGGAAAATCTGGATTGTTTTTCTTTACTTTTAGCCACGCTAATTTACAAGTTGTGCAATCCGTATGTCTCCCTCCGCGTCTTCTCACAGCCGGTTTGGAGCGCTCATAGGAGGAGGAGGAGAAGGAGGTGTAGGTTTAGATGGAGGAGGAGGAGTAGAAAATGAAGAAGAAGAGGAAGAAGAATGAGGAGGAGGAGCAGGAGGAGGAGGGGGAGGAGAGGAAGAAGAAGAAAAAGAAGAAGAAGAAGAAGAAGAAGAAGAAGAAGAAGAAGAAGAAGAAGAAGAAGAGAAAGAGGAAGGAGGAGCAGGAGGAATTAAAGGAAAAGGGGTGGGAGAACAAAAAGGTATTGAAAGTAGAATTCTCCTGTAGTGGATTTAGCGCGCACGCCGAACTGCGCCGAAGGATGTTTTGTGTTCAGCGCGTTCGTGTGTAGATATATGTCTAGATCTAGATCTAGATCTAATATAATGTAATCTAAATCAAGATTTAAACAATCATGAAAGTATTGAAAGTAGATTTCTCCTGCAGTGGATTTAGCGCGCACGCCGAAGGATGAGCGTATTTTGTGCACAGTGTCTAGATGAGTTCTAGAATCGAGATCTTGAATCGAGATCTAAATCGAGATCAAGAAGAATCATAAAATGAAAGTAGAATCTAGATCTGTGATAGAGTCTATGTCGATAACCTATAGAATATTGAAAGTGGATTTTTTCTTGCTGTGCATTATAGATTGTAAGATCTAGAGCTAGGCTAGATCTATATGTGAATCTTAGATAGAGATCAATAATGATGAAAGCTTTGAAAGCGGATTTTTTCCTGCTGTGAGTAGATCTTGAGTCTAGAACTAGGCTGTCGGTGAATCTAGATCGAGATTAAGAATCATGAAAGTATCCTTGAAAGTGGAATTTTCCTGCTCTGAATAGATCTAGAAATCTTGGCCAACTTTGACGCCTGTCGGCTGTTAAAAATGTGAATTTCTAAACTTAGATATATCCATGGGCCTAGGTTCCTTCTTTCAATTTATTGGCCTATGTCTTTATAATCCTTCGAGATCTAGGCTAGATCTAGAATCTAGATTAGGTTCTTCTGGGAAGCAACAGTTGGCATGTAGGCCTAACTCTTTTTTTTTAAAGTGATTGAGCTGGAACTTAAGGAGAAAATGCCACGCCTTCGAAGAGGGGGAAGAAGTCTTACCCCTAGAGGTAGTCATACATTGATAAATTCAAGGTAAAGTATTTATGTTTTGTTTCTTTCCTTTTTTCATTCTTTTTCCTCATTTGAACTTTCCTAATACTTCTTTACTATTCCGTTCGTAGAACGGGAACTTTTACCAGTCTTACATTTAAATTTTAGACCCTGTTCAGAACCAATGCCTTCGCCTTGCCCTAGGCGCTTTCCGTACTTCACCTGTAGAAAGTTTACAGACAGAAGCTCATGAACCATCTTTAGAGCTTAGAAGGAAAAAACTCTCTTTGCAGTACGCTTTGAAACTTAGCTCAGTACCCCGAAACCAAGCCCACAAATGTGTCTTTGGCCTTTCCGAAGATCTAAAAACTCTATCCTCCTTAGGAAATAAAGTAAGCCCTTTCGGAATAAGAATCCAGAACGATCTCCAAGACATTGATTTTTCTAAAGCCATAATCGAACCCTTTGCCATACCTCCATGGCATTTAGCCCAACCAAACATAGATACTAGTCTTGAAAAACACAACAAAAAGTCTACAGACAAA